CAGTTGGGCAGTGGGAAAAGAGCAACAGCAAAGCCTGCCCTGACAATTCGACATGACCGTTTAGGGCAGGAAGGGGCAGACTCTTTTTATCTGCTTGCAATTTTGCAGGACATATGGGAATTGAGGCCTCAGCTTCTTTTTTTTTCCCATGAAACAAAGCCCTTCTAGTCAGTACAGAGCCCAGGAACGTGCTGTGGCAGTGGTTTGGTATCAAGTGGCTCTTTTCCAAGTTAACTAATTTAATGAGATGGGGATTTCCATGGTGACTGCCACTGTGGGACCTGAGTGGTGCCATTTCCCTCACTTGGAGGCCTCTCCTTTTAGTAGTGTCTTCACTGCGTGCCACCTAGTCTATGGGAGCTGACAGCATGACATCAAGAAGGGGCAGGATGGCAGATGTCTCCTTTGTGCGCAAGCACTTACCTTTGTCTCTCTCCTGGCAGTCCTCGGCCACATCCAGAATCGCATCCCACGTTTTATTTTTCCATTCATTCTCAGTGTGGTGGGCAGGAATTTAGGCTCAATTCCTTGTGGCTTTATAAATGATGGCCTAGGGCAGTGGTCTCCAAAGTGGGGTGCGCAAGACGATCCATTAGGGTGCGGGAAGAAAATATTAGAACTTCTATTTATATTTATTGTTATCTATGTATATTGTACATAATATATTAGTACAGTAGTACATGTATATAAATTATAAATACATAAATATACATATATTGGGGATGCGTGCTCAAAAATTTTTTACTGATAGGGGTGTGCGATCAAAAAAGTTTGGAGATCACTGGCCTAGGGGACAGTGGTGCAAAGGGAAGAAACTGGGTGCTAAAATAAACACCAGAGAGTCTGTCCTCTTGGTCAAAACCTCTGTACTTCTCCCCATCCCTTCCTTCCCCTTGCCCAAAACACGCCACCCCTACCCGCCAGCCAGTTCCAGTTTCTAATTTTCCATTGTTAGCTACTTCACTTTTAAACCAGTATTTTCTTTCTGAAAGCTACCCAGGTGGTTGCATCCCTTTTAAGGTATGTTCACATTTAGAAGGATCAAGAAATATTGTTTCCAAGCAAAACCCCATCTCCTTCCCTCCCTCCCTCCCCATTTTTGTTGAAAGTTATTGTTGCCAAGGGAAGCTGCAAAATCCTCTTTGTTGGAGGGTTTTAAAGAAGTGGTTTGCCTGGGCTGGTTTAGAACTTCCTGCATCTGGGCAAGGAGTTGGCCTAGATGACCTTCCCTTCCACTTCTGTGATGCCGATTTGCTTTATTGTTTCTCCCCCACCCCCCAAGAAAAAAAAAGCTCAGTCAAAAAGACCATTTTCCACTATAAAACTATACTGACTTGCTCTGTTTCAGGGTTCAGCCACCCTTGGCACACGTGCCAGAGCATGGTACACAAGGCCATTTTTCTCGGCATGCCACAGCTGGCCCAGGGTCTGGGCAGCTGCCCCAGTATGTGGTGGGGAGACTTCAAGCCCTGCTGCCAGCAGCCTGGGCTCTGAGCAGGCGGCAGCTTCCCAGCAACCTGGCCAGCTTTGGCGGGCAGCCAGAAGGCTGCAGTGGGTGCACCAGGGTCTGGAGCCCCAGCCCAGGCTCCGTGCTGGCGGTGACTGCATGCATGCCTCGGGGCACACAGCAGGGAAGGGGTCAGGGTTGTGCTGCTCCAGGCCTCTTCCCCACCAGGCACCCTGAGGTGTGTGTGCAGCCACTGCCACGGAGCCTGGGCTGCTCGCGGCAGGAAGGCTGCAAACAGCTGCACCGGGGTCCAGCAGGGCTCATTGCTGGTGGCAGCTGCATGTGCACCTTGGGAAGAAGGCAGGGAAGGGGCTGGGGCTGCGCTGCCTAACAAGGATTGGCCCCTTGTAGCTCCCCTGGCATCCGTCCCTGGCACGCCAACTTAGAAGTTGAGATTGCAGGGTTTTTTGGCATTAGGTTAAAAAACATTGCCTACCCCTGCTCTGTTTCAATCAGTTCCTGCTATTGTTTAACTCCATCCCCGAGCCTGATGATCTTCCTTATCTGTAGTTCTCCCGTGGCTCCCTACTGCAGCTTTGTTTCTGACCCTACCTTGTACATAGAGAGGGGTTTACTTTCTCTTGTTGTCTACCTGCTGTTACTATTTGATTTCCTTGCATTTTTCATCCGCTTTGCACTGGTGTAAATGGCTGCCCAAGAGAGAGCAGCGGGGAACCAGGTGCTAGATTTGTTGTGCTGGTGAAAGGTCTCAATCCTGAAAACCAAGGACCTCTTCTATCCTCAAGGGAGTAATAATACAAACTTTCCTGCTGCAGCCCTAAAGAGTGTGCATAGTCCTAACTCCTAGAGACCAACCAGTGAAGTCTGAGGGGATTCGGGCCTTTTAACAATACCACCCATCTACCAAACATGGGGCCTGTTTTAGTTGTGTTTTTGGGGGGAAGTGGCAACTTCTGACGGAGAGCTGGAAAAGCTGTTTCATGCAGCTCCCCAGACAAAAGGAGTGTCGGGCGAGGTGTTTCCAGGAGAGAGGAGGAAGTGTGAATGGCCATGTAGAAAGCCTGCATGAGGCTGTCTGGAATAGGCAACAAGCACTGTACACATCATGTTCCAGAAAATGATTTTAAACCAAAGCAAAGCAGAGGAGGGGATCCTAGAAGAATCAGGAGAATGGAGGGTCTCTTATGAGAGAAGTCTGAAAAAAAGCTTGCCTTGTTTGAGCCAGCAAAATGAAGGTGGAGAAAGGGGTGCTGCTGCTGGGTATAAATATTTGTGGTTTAACACCACTGGGGGAAACAAACTAGTTTGACTTTAAAGGTCAACCTGTCGGCGGCAGGACGGATCCCTATGAATAAATCTAGGGTGGAAAATACAGGAAGAATAACGTGTTCTGGAGCAGACTTTCCAGAGAAGCTAGGGGCCTGGACTTGAGGAGCAGCAAAGTCTCTTCCAGGCCTATGTGCTTATAACAGCTCTGGGACCCTGCTAGCCAGGGTCAGATTCACCCGTTTCCCATGAATAAAATCTGCATTTCAGCTTGATCTTTTGACTCACAACTGCACCTACATCCTTAGTTAGTTGGCCCTTGGCAGCTCCCACTTCCCCTTGGTCTTCTAGACCCATCACCTGATGCTGAAATCAGCCCTCTGTGCTCATACTACTACTCTTCTTCCTCTATTTCTTTGTTGCAACGTAACTTCTTATTTCCTTCCTCACTGGTGCTGCTTGCACAGGCTTTCCCCGTGCCTGTCCTTCCAGGCGCTACAATAGAGACCCTTCTGTTCAGAAAGGCCCCCAGTGCCCCTATCCTTCCTTCCTTCCCCTTGGATGTGTGTAAATCCATCTCTTGGGTTTTTGTTTTTTTTACCTGGAAGCCTCTTTATTGGTTTTCCTGTGCTGTCCTTATTCCCCACTGCCTTGGCTTGAGTAACCAGCGTGGGTATTATAGAAGTCAAAAGAGCAGACAGTGTTGACTAATATAAAGAGCTGCAGACAGAACGACTTGCCCACTCCCAGTGGGGGCATGCTGGGTGGCGGTGGGTCTGCAGCAATCTGGAGGTGGGGTCTGTAACTTTTATCTATACTAGGTGATATTATCTGTTTGCAGTGAGCTGGCTATAGGGACTTGATAAATGCACTTGATAAATGTCCCAAATCTAGGGACAAATTGAGCATTAAAGCTGTGAAGAGAATTGTATAATACTCAGGGCATGACTTTTGAGATGCTCCTTATCATTAGTCAGAGCAGCCACTTTAATTATGCTCCTGCCATAACAGGACACGTACAAAACACACACATGCAACTGTGAACCTATCCCCTTAACTCCCATACACATTGCTTTTGCAAAAAATCATAGAATATAAGGTGGGAAAGGACTACAAGAGGTAACCTGGTCTATCCCATCCCTCTGCCCCAGGGCAGGATCACCCATACCTAAACCAGTCGTGGCAGATTATTTTTTGAACCTACTCTTAGAAAACCTCCAGTGATGGATCCCACAACCCCTGAAATAATCCATGCCCGTGCTCGTGTGTTAAGCAATCATTAAGATAACTTTTCTAATTTAAATGTCTCTAGTGTAATTTAAGTCTATTTGGTCTTGTCCTACCCCCTGTGGAAATGGAGAACTGTTTCAGCCTTCCTCTTTGCAACATCATCTAACATATTGGAAGACTATTCTCTTGTCTCCCCTCCATCTTCTCTAGGTAACAAAAATTTAGTTTCTTTCCAAGAGCCTGTTGCCCATGTATCCACATTATGCAGGCAGGTCACTACGTTAGGGCTCCTCAGGCATTTTTCAGACTAGTACATTTAAACATATCAGTTTAGCCATTGCAAAAGTACTCTGGTACTTTGATTCATATAATATGGACCTTCTAGGATGGAGACGTTATTGGGCTGTCTGTAATACAGCACAGCACCTCTGCAAAACATGCTCAAGCTATTTATTGCAGGTATGTTCAGCAAGACATGTTGCACCCACCATCCGCCTATCTGCATGTCCCTAACTGCTCACTTTCTCCCACTCTCCAAGTAGAAGATAAATCCAATAACATTTGACTCTGAGTCTCAGCCGCATGATGCTTTAGTGGGCTTGGAAGCTTGCAAAAATATTTGCCCAGCCGTAGGCCTTTTAGCTGACTCCTCAGGTATTTCCTTCCTTTTCTTCAAAGCCAGACACCATGTCAGGACTTCTATTTGCAGTGAAACTGGGCTCCTGCCAGCTGAAGCGAGGCATGTTTTGAAAAATGTGTCCCACTCATGGCAGTAGAGTTGCCATTAAATTAACTGGGGGGGAAAAAGATGTCCATCTTTCTCCAGCTGCCACTCCATGAGATGCTCCACAACTACTTCTGATGAAATTCCCAGCAGGCCTCTGACATGAGGCAGGTTTTGAATGCATATATTCAATTATAGCACGGGTGGGCAAAATGCAGTCTGGAGGCCGGATGTGGCAGGCCAGGCCATTCTACCTGGCCTGCAGTGCCCCTAGAAAATTTAGAAAATTAACATTCATCTGCCCTGGGCTGCCTGTCATGTGGCCCTCGATGGCTTGCCAAAACTCAGCAAGCGGCTCTCTGGCCAAAATAATTGCCCGCCCCTGAATTATAGCAATGACTTAACTCTGTTCCCTGTGTGTAGTTACACAGATACAATCCATCTCCAGCATTAGTCCAGTTCAGTTTTTTATACCCTGGGAAGAATGGGTAATTCAGGGCGCGCTCATTCTTTGGAACCTGATGGTAATGGCTTTAACGCAATGGTGGCATATTCCACAGGCTCCGTAGGAAAATTGTTGCGTGTAATTGGAGCCTGACTTGGCTCAACGTTGGCGTAGATGGATTCATTTGGGCTGGTTTGGGGTTTAAAGTTCAACATAGCATATTTTGGGTCTTGGGATGTCCCCTCTCTGTCATCCTTGGGATCTTCTGTTTTGCCAACATCCTGCAGCTGGGCACAGAAAAGGCAATTACTTCTCAGCGTCTTTCATAACTACACCACAACAGATGCCCAAAGGACAAGAGTCATTCAGACAAGGAGGAAATGGAGTAATGACTTATGTTACCCACTGTCCTGGGGAAGGTGGGGCAAGAGTGAGCCTTGTTCACTGTTCTCCTTTCCTGATGCCTACTGTCACTTCAGCCTTTCACCTTTGCCTTCTGAGTGATGCCAGGTTTGCCCTCTCCATGGCATTAAAGTGACTGCTTCTGTCCACTCTACAGCACAATTGCTATTTGGTCCCATTACCATCTGGATCACTGCTCTCTTCCTCTGTGCTGCATTTAATACTGGCACTGTTGGCATTCCCAGATTTTGTCATAATGTGGCCTGATTTTAATACAGAGGCCATTTCACTGGCACCCCCCTTCACAGTCAACCTAAAAGACAACCTTCCTACTTGTTTGCAAAGACTTCCTCATGGTAACTACAGCAATTGCACTTTATGGTTTTAAATGCAGCCCAGCAGCTAGAAATGAGGAAAAGCCAGTGCTGTATAATCAGCCACTTTCCCCAGCCCACCAGAAAATGCTCCACAATTAGTTTGCTAGGTCCATCTGGGGCTGTTAAATACATGAGTCATGAGTTTGCCCACAGGGTATTGCCAAACGTATGACTGCTGTGAGGATATGGCAATTCACTCTGCACATATTCTTCTACTAAAGCCCATACTGGGCTAGATGGACCTTTGATCTGACCTCTTGCAGCTGTTCTTATTTATGCAATTTATCCTGTGCCAATACCAAGGTAGCAAGTAGCTCTTACCACTGTGGGATTCCCCGGTTTGTCATAGATGCCTTCAGCTTGTTCACCACCTTTTCCTTAAGACAAGATTGAATGTGTTAGAAATGCAAATCCTGCTTAGTCCTGGGTATGTCTCATGGGACACAAATATAGGTGAAGGCCACAGAGTGCATTGGCTGACTGTGTTCTTTGTCACTTGTGCTGCGTCTACTTAAGAGGGGGAACAAACAAACCCTTGCCGATGCCTGCAATCGGCCACTGCCATTAAACATGAGTTTGATATATTGTTCCTTCAATATCTACACTTGCTATGTTATTCTTTTCAAAACCAAACCATTTTGCATGCATCTATGGTCCTTTTATGCAAGGATCACACAGAGGTGAGAGGGGAAACTTTCAAGTAGTTCAGGCTCAAAATGTAGGCTTTTTTACAGAGAAGATTCATGAAGACTCTCTACAAAGTGTTAGAGTAGTTTGCTCAGAGGTAGTCATTCCCTTGCTGTGTTTGGAGTACAGAGGGCTCATGTACACACTACGATTCTTGCTCTTTCACGCACCGCAACATATTGCAGCGATGGGCTTGTGCACAGGGACGGTGGCCTGGAGACCACAATGGAATCAAGGAGTCTGGATAGTGTGGAAGGGAGTAAGCAAGTGGAGCCTAGGGGCTTGCTGGTTCAAAGACCCAGATCCATCCTCGGCGTGCTCCTCCTGGTTGTGAGGTGGAAGTGATCATGATGGGAGGCCTGCAGTGCTGCTGCTTCCAAGCTGTGCCTGCTTTATGTTCTCCAGAGCTGCTCAGGCTGGCGGGAGGTTAGCAACAGCACAGCCACATGTGGCACCAACAGCCCTCCGCTTACCTGTCTTCTTCCGCTGCCTGATGTACAGTATTATTGAGCTGATGAGTGCCAGGGCAAGGAGGACTCCCAGGACCACACCGAAGATGGTGAAGGGGGTATCACCTAAGGGAAGCCTGAGGAAGCAGAGGTATGTTCAGTGTTAGGAGACAGAAGGAAGGCAGAAGTCTTCCTCTCACCCTTAACACACACCTAGTGGGCACCTGGACAAAAGGCTGGAATAACTCGCCCACCTATAGGGCTTGTTCTCATTAAGTGACACGGGTGTGAATGTTCAAGCCCACCAGTGCTGTTTGGCGTGTGGTGCATGCACTGAACATCTCTGCAGGCTTGTGAGAACAAACCTTTGTTCCAGGCACAGCTGCAGATTCATTGGGGCAGAGACTGTCTCTTTGCTCTGTGCCCGTGATGCATGACAGGGGGCTCTGAGGAGCTACCTCAACACAAGTGATACAGATATAAAAAAAGAAACCGAGTTGATTCAAACAGTAAGCAGAGGTAAAGGTGGAATGCTAATGGGGAAGTATTTACTGGGGCTCTTGCAGCTTTTATTGGTGATTGCTGGCCAGCTTGGGGAGTCGGGAATGGGGAAAAGGCAAGTTAGCTCTTTTTAATGATTGATGGAGAGGATCATTTACGTTCAGCGTAGCACATCCGGAGTCATTTCTCTTGCTCCAGAGAGTAGCAGCCAAAAGGGTTACTGATGACGTAGTGACTAGACAAGCACATTCCCACTGAGGCTGGTGCTCAACTTTCACCTTCCCATTTTATCCTGGGTGACTTAATGCAGGGAAGCAGCTGGAGGGCAGAAGGTTTGAGGGAAGAGGTACCTATCTGGTACCTTTTAAAGAAAGTCTGCCTTGTCCAGCCCCATGCTAAGGAAAAGGCTTCAGAATACCTGAAGAGTATGGTCTCCAAGAGAGAAAAGTACACATTGGATGAGACTTCAGTGACTATGGGCTGATTCACAAACACAGAGGCTTTCTTTGAGAGGGAGCTCAAAGCCTTACCTGCTGCTTGGTGTGCTGGCTTCTGGGCTAGTAATGACAATGGGTGTTGTGAGACTCATGGTTGTAGTTGGAGCTGCAAATACAAATGTAGAGTTGAACAACTGGACACTTTCAACAGTTCAGGTCTTTGAACCTCCAGCTGTTACCTGATACAGTTTCCTGCCACTGCAGCCCCGCAGGTGCCAGGCAGGAGTCAACCCAGGCAGGCTGTCACTGCTGCATCAGGCCAACCTGCTTGGAGCAGGTAAAACAAAACAGGTGAGAATGGCGAGGGGGGTGACGTGAAGCCAGTCTATGATCATGCTCCCAGAGCTGCTCCAGAGAGAAGTGCATGGTGTAAAGTTGGGGCAGGAAATCAGGAATGATCTGGGAGGTGATACAGACTGGGCAGCAGAGAGGTGGAGGGAGTGGGAAGGGGAAGCCAGACTCTGTAGTCAACCACATTTATTTCTGACAAACACTTGCTTACCCTTGGAAACAGCCAATTGAACTTCAGCTAGTCGGTAAAGGTGAGGAGAGACATAAAGTGCGCACCAGTAGACACCAGAATCATCTGCTTGTAGCTTTTCCACGGTGATGGTCACAGTCCCGTTTTGAGCGTTGTCGTGTAATGTGGTTCTTTCAGCCTGGCCTCGATGTCGATAACGCCGATAGCTGGTGTACGTTCTGACCAAGATATTGCAGTTTCCCTCGTCCATGTATCGGCACCAGGCTTTCCCCTGTCTGCCGTAGTCCCGTGCGCTGTACGGACACCGGACAGTGAGCTTCTGCCCCTCCACAGCTTTGTGTTTCTGGACACCTAAGAAAACATCACGCGCGGTCAGTGGGATCCAGCTGACGAGTGTGGGGATGAGAGAAATCGGCTGTGAATGACACACAGGTGGACGGGCAAATTCTTCCCTGCCTAACTGCTTCCACCAGCATTTGTTCAGCTGCGATCGGGGTGAGCTCGCAGGGAGTCTTCAGTGTGAAGTGCCCTGCAAGCCAACTACAGGGACGGCAGAGAGTCATTAGAAGAGGGGCAATGGTTTCTTACGGTGATATATTTTACGAGACTAACTGCAGAGTTGGGGTGGAGTTAGATAGATATTTGAAAGCAAGACATCCTTCATCAGGGCTCATCTTAGAAAACATCTAAGCAGTAAGTGGGGCATGTCGTGGGGGCTGAAGAGAAGAATGAAGAATTATTACTGAAGAAGAAGCATCAGGAACCTCCCGGCTGAATCCCTCAGCTCCCTTGTGATCCAGGCTGGTTCGTTGTGTGAGACAAGAAAGAGGGACAAAGGTACGTGCAGGGTAGGAGACAGCGAGGAAAGTGGGCGATGGTGATAGCAAGTGCAGTAGGTCGAGGGAAAGCTGGTAAGGAAGGAATGCGGCTTACTTTGTAAGAAATGTACTCACGCTGAGAAACCCTCAGTTGAATGGTCTTTAGATGGTAC